TTAAATAAAGTTATTATTATTATTATTATTATATGTCAATTGATATTTCAGACCTCAGCAAAAATTATGAAAAGGCTAAAAAAGAAACTGAAGCACTGGAAAAGGAAAAAGAAACAATGTCCAAGAAACCACAAAATGATCCAGAATTTAGAAGGTGTGCTTACCCAGCTATGGACCTTTATCACATGTAGCCATGTTGAATGGAACAATAGATTTCTCCAGTGTGGCCTCATATTCAAGTTCTTCAGGATGAAGTTATACTTGGTTAAACAAAGAATTGGCATTGTGTGATAAAGATTCATATTATAATAAACTTCTTATAAGAATTGATACATGTAAGAACGAAGTCTATTTCTAATCATTAAAGCTGACATTGCTTTTATTATGAATAATGCATGCAATCAAAATGAAGATTGAGTGCAGAACTAGAAGCAGCAAAGGATGGGAGCATGGAAGGAATTTGTGAAGCCTTAACACAAGAATTGAAGGAGCTTCAACAAATCTATTTAAAGAAAGAGCTTCAAAAGCAAAAGCATTTACAACAACAGCAAAGTAAGGTTAGTTCCTCTAAGGTTACTGGATCATGGAAAAGCTGGATCAGACGTTGGTGATTCTTTTTTTCTCGAAAAAATCTAATGACTTAATTTTTTTTTTTTTTTTTTTTTTTTCCCTTAGGCATCCTATTACCAAACGAATTTTAAACAAAGACAGAGAAACACAGAGGGTACAAAGCAAAGAGGCAAAAAATAGTGTACAGAACAACTGTACCAATTTGCGATTTTGAAATAAAAACAGTATGATGAATTGCTTCAGTTCTTTATTTTCTGAATCAATTACGATATTGTACCTAATGTGTCAGGCCTTCAATTCATTGATTACTTCTTTCCTGTAGATTACCTACAGGAAGATATATCTTCCAGTGTCTTAAGTTTATGTTACACTTTGTTTCATGTACACCTTGAACTTTATTTTTAATTGAAGTTTTCCATGCAAGAACTATATTAATCAGAGTCACTAGATCCATAGCTTTCCTCCATAAAAGCAGTTCCTCTAGACATGGCTGCTTCTTGTATTGCTATGGAAAAAGCTTTGCTGGACCACTGTCCTGTAGGTAAAGCTTGCTTTTTCTTTGTTAATAATGGTTCTCCACTGTCTCTAGTGCCTTCTCCTATGATTTCTTTCATAATACTCAGATGTCCATATTTGTCTTCACTTGCAGCATTCATAAAACCATCATCCACCTTGAAACTATCATTTAGTTTAGAACCATTAACTAAAAATTCAGTTTGCATATCTTCTGGTTTTGAGGGACCTTTTTCATTTTCATCTTTATTCTTTTGTTTCTTGCTTGGTTTCACAAAACCTGCATCTGTTATCAGTGGGTCCTTAGCTTTAGTTAAAAGCACACTTTTTAGTTCTAGTAAGAGGTGCTGGCTTTCTTCTCGAGTTCTGCTTTCCCTCTCTAGCTCCTCCCTGGTTAGTATTTTCTGATCAAAGTCAGAATCATCATCAAAATCAGTATATCCCTCGAACACACAGTCTCCCATAACTTCCTCAGGTTCCATCATCATTGACTTATTCACAGGACTGGGATTTTCATCTATTTCTTTTTCATTAAAATCTTCCTCAGTAATGACTTCAGATTTGTCTATCCCAGAAATCATTCTTAGATTATGGAATCCTTCTTCCCAGCAACAAATAGCACTATCCAATTCATTTCTTAATAGGTTATAGTTAGACTCAAGTTCTTTCATGTGCAGGTCTTTATCAAAATCTTCTGAAGATGAATTTGATGTAAGTTCTTTGGATTCAGTCTCAGTTGCAGAAGTTATGAAAGTGTTTATGAACTGCATTCTTGTTAAACAAGCTTTCAAGTGGAGTTCAAGGCTATGGATAGATGTATAGTACTGTGTCCACTTGCTTTGGGACTTGTTATTTGTTGTATCATGATGTAACTCATTATCTCCTTTAAAAGTCAAAGCACTCTTATGAAGATGGTAACTTAACTGTAGTGATTTTAGTGCTTTCTTTACTAATCCCAGTTGATCATAAAAACCTAGGAACAATCTCTCAAAGCTTTTCCTATCAAAGATCATTTCGCTTGATCTTGCTTTCTCAGATAAAGACAAAAGGAAGCGACTCAAAAATTCTGATTGCTGAGATGCAATAGCTGATAAAAGAATTTTCAAGTAGCTTAGAGAAAGTTTTTCTGATTGAGCACACTCTCCTAAACCAAACTGTGATAATGGGTTCGATGATATACAAGTGAAAACACTAGTAACCTCTGTGGCAAAAGGAAAATCCACAAACATCTTTTCCATGGTTGAACAAGATCTCATGAGTACATCCATTCCATTGTCACATAAACTCTGACGTAACTTTGGATATATATCTTTAGTACATTGTCCTTCACCATCCTGCCCGTAACCAATTTGCATGCCCAGCCCAACTAATGTATAACCCTTAGAAATCAACTCAAGTTCCTGAATAAGCATAACAGACTTTCTGAATACTGTTACAAATGATTTAATTTCATTTGTATAATCTTTCAGAACCTTTATATTTCTACAATGTAAAGCTCTGAGGCTATGTATGCTCCACACATAGTACCCAATGACAGAGATCACCAGTAAAGCACCAATAGTTGATCCTTTGTGATCAAATAAATAATCCCAATAACTCGAAGCAAGAAATATAGCCAACAGTAAAAATAAAATGCTCAATATGGCTTCACGTGTCCAATCAGAGAGAAAAAACATTTGTGCTCTCTCTGTGTTGTTTACAGTCTCTTCTGGAGGAATGTCAAACAATGCGGGGTCAAATTGATGAAGAAAAGTGAAATCATCTTCACTCAAAGTCCCTGAGTTGATCACCACTGTAGCATATTCCTTTCTCGTTAAAAGCAACTCATCTGTTCCCAAACCTAAAAGTCTTCCGTTTAAGCTTACTATCCATTCATTCAATCCTGAATTACTTTGCTCAACAATGTCTTTCTTCTTGTCTTCACCATCTCGTTTATCTGGTTTATCAACCTTCTCTGACTCAATCTCCGTAAAGCCTGCTTCCTTTAGATACTTTTCTAGAGGGGAGTTCTCAAAGATTACATCTTCATCGTCTTCATCTGCCATTATGAAGAACAGACCAGACGGTGTATTTTAGAACACTTCGTCCACCATTTTGTTTTACTTCCCAGCAATCACCTCGCGTCGCCTTAATATGCTTGGGCTTCCTGTGTTTGGAAGCATTGTGACCAAGCCTCATATTCAAAATGGCGGACGAACTACGAACGTAGAAGACAAAACTCTAAGTTTTTCTTGGCTCTTCCTTGTTTAACTGAGCAATAAAAGCTGTCATAAAGTTTGTTTGATATATTATTTCCCAATATGTCGTCTGGACATAGAAAGAGAAGAATTGAGGTAAGCTGAATAGTGAACTAATCTACGTTTTCATGACGATCTTCATTGACCAATTTTGATCGATGTTTCCTTTGATTATTGCTTGCGATGATCTAATTTTGTAGGAAGGAAATTCATCAGACGACGACGATGATTATGAGCCTTACGTACCCTTAAAAGAAAGAAAAAAGATGGAGGTACTGCAATTTTAATATCATGGATTTGCTGATCATGCATAGCTTTTCATGCACTTTGTCAAATGTATTTATAAGCCTAACTTATCCATCCTTTCTTATTTGCTTTATATTAGCTGCAAAAGAAAGAAAAACTTCTGAAAAGAAAGACTACCTTGGAGAAGAAGGAAGAGAAAGATACCAAAGTAAGTTTTCATACAGATAAAGACACCCTAATAAGTGTGTTACAACTGAAGCAAGTAAATATAAATATTATGTTTAAGTCACTAAAGACATGCATTTTTATCACCCATGCCAAGTAAGCAGTATGTATGGATTTGGCTGCAGCTCACCCTCCTTCTCTGTGACCCTCAAATCTTTCCAGTTTTATTTTCTCTTCATTCTGAATTTTTGATTATACAGAAATCTCTTGAGAACGATGAAGGTCAATTTTCTGCTCCTGTGCCTAATGTCAGTCTGCTTGATCAACACAGTGAGCTCAAAAAAATTGCTGAAGGTAATAGCTGCATGGCTATAAACCATGTTAATAACAACAATATAATAATAGTACATGCAGGTAGAAAATCCCAAGAAAATAAACAGTGATGTTAATTAAGATTTGAATTGTGTTTAAACAAGAAATCTTAATTCTTGGAAAAAGAAAATTCGGAGCTCAAGGTGGGATTCAAATCTGTGACCTCCTCTGCTTGGTAGTCAAATGCTCTAAACCAGCTGAACTACTAGCACTGCAACTTATGTTGATGAGCGGTGTCTAGATGGTTTTTAAGCCCTTCACTTAGGAAAAATATTGTTTGATAACCTTAGTGGAAATTGATTGTGAAAAAAATAATCATGTTAATAACTTGAAGTCTATTTCATGAATCTCTCTCTAGAAATGAGTTTAGGAAAGGGAAATGGAACAAGAAATGTTTCAAAGAGCAACAGCATAGTGATTTTGAAATAACATGTAAGAAGTACAGTATTGCCATTTACTTACGTATTTTATACAACTATTTTTTTAATTCGATATAGCTGTTAAAGAAACACATTATGATAAACAGCTGAAAGAGGAAGAAAAGATATTGGAGAGTATTGCTGAAAGAAAAGGTATTGATATTTTTGTTAGTGTTGTATGGACCTTAATTCTTACATGGCAACCATGTGGACTGGAATAATAGATTTTTCCCTGCATGACCTCACATTCAAACGCTTCAGGAGGAGGTTAAACATGGGATTTTCGTTGGCAGGAAGGTTAAACATAGGGTTTTCGTTTTTATTGGTTTGGCACAATGTGACCAAGGTCCAGGTGTTGAGGTTATTTGTGTATGTAATTAATGAATATTTACTAAAACTATTAGTTATCCTTTGTTTTAGCTCTTATGGCAGTTGGAGAAATAGCAAAGGGTATAGTGTACACAGAATCTATTAAGACAGGGTAAGCTAGACTATGGATGAAATGTTAAATAGTATTACCATTGTGTTATTTTGTTACACTTAAATTATTCTTATTTTTAGCAATCAGAGGGTATTGTTTGTCTCTGATTGTAAAGTGGTTCACCTACTTATTCCCCACTTTTTCTCTTCCTCCTATGAACCTTCCCTTTATCTTTCTCCTTTCTTTTCTTCCTTCCTTCCTCCTACCATTTTCTCATCCTGCTTTCCATCTTTCCTTCTCTTCTCTACAGGGGTAGAGGGGGGGGGGGGGATTCAGAGAAAGAACAAATTACAGAGTTTTTATGGAAGAAAATTAGAATTTCCAGGGGGTAGGGGGGTGTCTTAAAAAATTCCTCCGTGAGGGGGATATGGATAATTTTAGGAACTTACATTCTAAGTATTTTTTCCTATACTTTATAGAAGAGGTATAATTAATGACAATAATATGTGCTGTACCTAATCTTTTCTTTAGATGGAAACCTCCAAAATATGTGTTGTCCATGCCTAAAGAAAAGTTTGAAAAAGTCAGGAGAAAATGGCACATTTTGGTAGAAGGGTCTGACGTACCTCCTCCTTTGAAGTCTTTTAAGGTAAGACCAACATTTTCTTGATCATAAAACAGTCTATTGTTGAAAAACCTTCTTTGTAAAAATTAGACATTTTAAAGTGCACTAAATTTTGTACCTTTGTACAATTTATAAGTAATTATCATACAATAAATCCACCAGTTATTTAGTATTGTTGTTGGACCCAAAGATAGATTGATTACCTAGTTTATTAGATAGATTCACCTTTCATTATCAATTGTTTCTAATCAGGAGATGAGATTTCCACGTCCCATCATAAATGCACTGAAAAAGAAAGGAATTGTACACCCTACGCCAATACAGATCCAGGGCTTGCCTGCAGTGTAAGTGGATGAAATCTAAACTAGTATTCAGGGCTCAAAATATTTGCCAGTTATTAGTTAATGTCTGGCCAGATTTGGAACTTGTCCAGTCAAATCTTTACCTTGCTGGACATCTTGACCAGTAACATTGAACCGATGTCATATTGTGGCTGACAACTTACCAGTCATTTTTAGCCCTGCTATTACTAAGCAGATAATATGCTTTTAGCAGGAAATAGCATGAAATGAGTGCATAGTTCCTGACCAGAAAATATTCTCTTCCCTTTCACTTGGTTTCCCAAAATGCAGCCTTTTTTAAAATTTGATTTGCCTGTTTGAACCCCTTAATGGCAATCCTGAATCCGCCACTGTGCATACATATCTCTTTTTAGAGAGATGTACTGTGCATACATATCTCTTTTTAGAGAGATGTACTGTGCATGCATATTTCTTTTTAAAGAGATATGTATTCACAGTGGCGATTTTGGATTGTAATGAGGATTGTACTAAAAGTACTCTTTAGGTAATATTATTGATTTACAATTCATAGGTTACTAATATCATGACTTTTTTTTGCTATTTTAGGTTAATGGGAAGAGATATGATTGGTATAGCATTTACTGGATCTGGAAAGACTCTAGTCTTTATCCTACCCATCATCATGTTCTCTTTGGAACAGGTACATCATTCAATACTTTGAATTGTTGCAGAAAATAGCCATTTGCATAAAGAAGGATTGGTAATAGGCCCGCTTAGCTTGAGTATAATTCATAAAAAGTTCTAGAATATATACCTTTTGGTAATCATGTACTTCATGATCAGCCGACACATGTCGGTTTGACTATCACCCGACTGTCAAACAACAGTCGGGCAATAGACGACCAACACATGTCAGCTGGTCATGAAGTACATGGCAGAACAAAGCTTGTTGTTTGTATTAAATAACAAAAGAATTAGCAAACCAAGACAAACAATGTCAATGTCAATGTCATGTATATTTACAATACATATTGTTTATTATATTCCCTCTTTCTTTGTTGTTATTACTTTAAAATTATCAAATAATGAATGAATGAACAAACGAATGAACAAATGCACATAAAACAACATTAATAATTGATCTGTAATTAATTCATAGTATAAAATACTTTTTTAGGAAAAAGCCCTTCCCTTTGAAAAAAATGAAGGCCCTTTTGGACTCATTGTAGTACCATCGGTAGGTTATTCAAGATATTTATAATATGTATGGGCTCTAGCCTCATCTATCTTCTATTACATACTTTTATTATTAAGCACTAGTGATCATCTACGCACCACAGGTAGCTGACCAATGAAATAAACGAGAATCACCAAAGCATAGAAAGATGCTTGCAGAGGCAGTGACATGGGTTGATTTATCCTCATTTTAAACATTGAAGTTGAAATGCACAATTAGAATTACATGTAGAATACCATTTGTTTTGATCAATTTCTAGAGAGAGTTGGCAAGGCAAACATATGAAGTTATTACATACCTTTCCAGGGCTCTTGATGCAGAAGGTGAGAAACATGTAAATCTTGAACCCATCTTGCACTGTTTTTGTTATGTAAATCAAAATATTTTTGACTGTATATGATTGGATAAAACATGGAATCTTTCAAACCCAGGTTATCCGACCCTCAGGACATCACTTTGTATTGGAGGAAGTTCTATCAAAGACCAGGCTGAGACAATGAAAAGGTATTTTATGAGCAGGAGATGCTTTTATTCATCATTCCAGTAAAAAGCCATAACATTTAATTGATGTTTCCAATAGGGGTGTCCATATGGTCGTCGCTACTCCTGGAAGATTAATGGATTTATTGAATAAAAAGATTTTGACGCTTGATATGTGCAGGTATGTAGTTCCAAGTAAAAGATATACTGTACTTACCAACACCATCATCATCATCCTCATCTTCACCTACAACATTATTATGCCATCATCATCATTATCATTCATTATGTCAACAATAACAACAGCACTTCATTCAGTATAAAAATCGACAACAACAACAATACTATCATACATCATCAGCACCAGCATTAACTTCTTCACCATATCATAAAATCACTTTCATTATCATCATCATCATCATCAACACGTTACATGTAATATATACAGCATGAGTGGCCGTGTTGTATCAGATATACAACCACAAGGTGTAGCCGAGATAGATGTATATGACTTATCAAACATCTAGGTTAGTTCCTTTGTGTTTCACTAAAATTTTCAAAATTAAAGTGAATTTGGCCAAGAAAATCTAACTTAAAGTTTATGCAAATGAACACAGTTTTGTATCAGATTTACAACATTCTTCATGGTCGTGATTTCTGTTGTGTTTTCCTCATGAATTATTCATGAGTTTGATAATTCAATATACAGTATGCCAGAAATTTTTGGCTAACTTAATAACCACATATTGTTAGATACCTTGTACTTGATGAGGCTGATCGTATGATAGACATGGGTTTTGAAGAGGACGTCAGAACCATCTTTTCATATTTCAAGGTAATTAATCCCTCCAAATTATCAATATCTTTAGAATGTAATAATTTTTATTCTATCCAATGGATGAGTCCAGAAAAATTATTATATGAGTGATTTATTGGTAAAGGATGTACTAGCTTGTCAAATAATATATTTTCAATTTTTAACTCCACAGTTTCAGCGTCAGACCCTTCTTTTTAGTGCAACAATGCCTAAGAAGATCCAGAATTTTGCAAAAAGTGCTCTCGTTCTGCCAGGTATAGAATGAATTGTTTCAGTTGTATATGAAATATCAATAGTAAAAGAAGAAAAAAGAAGTAACTCACAGCTGGTGGCAAGCAGAAGCTTTTCCATGGTACTGAAAAAAATCAGGCACACAGCAACAAAGCTTGATGTAACTTCTGTTCTTATAAAATGTGTAGGCACCTTCTGTACTTGAGTTTTGCATATTCATGTAAAACCGAGACAGGCATGGAATAATGTGACATGTTTTATTCAAACTAATAATTTGACTTTAATTTGACTGTAGTGACTGTTAATGTTGGACGAGCAGGAGCTGCTAATCTGGATGTCATTCAGGTACTTACAGAACTCTATAATATTGCAATCTGTATCCATTGGTATACTCTAATTGTTCAGGGCTTCAGTTGTTCAGAACAGTTGCCCTCACTTCCGAAGTTTTCTTTGTCTTTGTTTTATTTTGTGTGTGTGCATCCCGTCCCATGATGACCCTGAGATACGATATGAAATAAAGTGATTTCTCCCATTCAAATATTTACTGTACGTACATAATGAATACTCATTTCTTATCCAACAGGAAGTGGAATATGTAAAACAAGAAGCTAAGATAGTCTATCTGCTTGAATGTTTACAGAAAACAACCCCACCGGTTTGTGCATTGTTTGTCTTTCATCTTGCACCATACAGGGGTTTAACCCAGGGTAGCAAACCAACACAGCCTTTGGAAAATGAAATCTCTTGTTAAACAAAAAAAACATTAGCTACCTTGAAATTCCTCCGTAATAAACATGTTAGCCATTTCGAGGTTCTGGAAAAATTGGGTCGAGTGAGTATTGTAGTGCATTGTGGGACTGTTTTAGGGGTAAAATAGACGCCACCTTTGAAATAGAGGCTTTGCATCATCACGTGATAGCAGCCATGACAAGGCGCATAAAAATAGACCCCCTGGGAAACTGAATCCTTTTGTAATCTAATTTAGATTAGACCAGATTTGTTCCTGCCTCCTGTCATGGCTGCCATCACGTGATGGTGCAAAGCCTCTATATGTCCCCTACAACATTCCCACAATATACAGAAATGCTAAATCGATCCAATTTTTTTTCTCAACCCCAGAATGGATAATATAATCGTAGTATGTGTGCATTAAACTTCATATTTGTATTTTCAGGTCTTGATTTTTGCTGAAAAAAAGAAAGACGTAGATGATATCCACGAGTATTTGTTGCTCAAGGGAGTAGAAGCTGTAGCTATTCACGGTGATAAAGGTATCACACATTCTTTATTGTAAAAATCCATTATAATCTAGAGCCTTAGCGATGATCATGCCAGAGTAACCCAGTTTCAGTGCCAAAGCGGCTTGCCGTGACCATGAAGACACGGTGTCCAAGCATTTTCATTGGATAGGCACTGAAAAGGTCAACGCCATTTCTAATTGATGTGTAAACATTCGATGCAGATATGAAGTGTAGTGACTGTGACGGTACCGTATCAACGCACTGGTTGTATTGCAAGACGAGAGCGATGATTTCGAAATGGGACAATGCCATTTCTATTAATTCATTTTATGCGCGCACTTTACCGTAACGGTGTCGTATGTCTTTGATACTTTGTCTTCATAATACCTTTGTTTCTTAACTTTAGATCAAGAAGAACGTGAACATGCAATCCAGGGATTCCGTCAAGGGATCAAAGACGTGCTTGTAGCTACAGATGTGGCATCTAAAGGACTCGATTTCCCTGACGTCCAACATGTTATAAATTTTGATATGCCTGAAGACATCGAAAACTATGGTATGATAGGACTGATTAAAGACCCTTGGGGGTAGGGTGGGGTGGCATCTTAAAATGTAACGTGCGTGTGTTTTTTTTAGGGAGAAGAGGGGTGGGGGTTAGATGGAGTGACGCCCCCTCCCCATTGGAAAATCCTGGACACACCTCAACCCCTCCTCATCCCTAGTACAAAAGCTCTCTATAACTCACATGTTTGTTCTTGTATTTTAGTACACAGAATAGGTAGAACAGGTCGATGCGGCAAGACAGGAATAGCTACTACATTCATCAACAAGTCTTGTGGTAAGTGTCATCCATCCATTTATTCGTTTCCCATCCATCTATGCATCCACCCTTCTTTCGTTCATTCATACATCTTTTTACTCTCCTCAGCAGCCGTCATTTGTTTCGGTCCCAGATCCTCACGGGCACTGTCCGACAGTTGGGAAAGAGGAGACTAACATCATTTCGCGCCGTTCACCAATTAGTTCCCTAGAATTAGAATTTCCTGACTCCCCGTTTCGTTTCTTCCTATGACTCTTATTCTTTTCATTACCTTGAAGTTATTTACCATGTTGTTTCCTCCTGTTTCCGTCGTTTTGTAGATGAGTCTGTACTCCTTGACTTGAAGCACTTGTTAATCGAAGCCAAACAGAAGATACCACCAGTACTAGCTGCTTTACAAGCAGACAACGAGGAATACCTTGAACTTGGAGGTAAGATACAAAGAAAAGGCTCCACAAAGGACCAATCCCAGAATATATAACAACACTGGTTATTAATAATGATGCTAAACGGGCTGTCACAGAATCATGACCCGTACGAGTAATTCTTAACTACCACAAGGAGAGAAATATTGATACCTTGTTCACCTCACCCTTCATCCCAGAGGCTCTCTCGCTCCAGCGTTTCTCAGCTCCCTGGGCACGGTCTATCATAGAAGCTTGGTGCGGAAAAGCGATTCCTAAATACCACGAGAAGTATTGCTACCACCCTGTATATCTTTAAATTTCAGAGACGATAGTACCCAAGAGGGTCCTACGTTCTTTCATATGGCTTTTTTTAATTCTATTTCTTTTCTTTTGATTTTAATTTTCTTTTTTTTCCTTTTTCCTTCATTCGTATACTAAATTTGGTTTTGCCATTTATCGACCATTTTTGCGTGCACGCGAAGTCGAGACGCTTAAGAAAGTCTACTTCAGTCTTTCCTCTCAAGTGTTCTATACTCAGTTTATTAATTTTTTGCCTATCTAGATGAGCGCGGATGTGCCTATTGTGGTGGTCTTGGACACAGAATCACAGAATGTCCTAAACTTGAAGCGATGCAGTCCAAACAAGCTGGAAACATTGGACGTCGTGACTATCTTGCTCATGGCTCTGCTGATTGGTAAAACCGTGAAAATCTTGCTATCATATTCGGTATTCGAAAAACGCACATGAAGGTAGGGTAACTACTGCTAGGAGCAAGACTTGTGATCTTTTTACCGGGGGGGGGGGGGGGGGGAAAAAGGACCCCAACTTGGGGAGGGGGTTCCGATGGGATTCTGATTGATCGGGGGGGGGGGGGGGGGGGGGGGGGTAAAAAGGTTACCCTCCCTTCATGTAAACAGACCCTACTGATACAAGACATGGTTTGACACTGCGAGGCTTGCGGAAACAAGTTAGACAGAGGATCTGAGGATGGACATTTTCAGTGATGTATAATTTTTTGACAAGAACATTAACTGTATGATACGTCATTTTTATGAAGATCAAAAGTACTTATAGACCCCTTGCATGTGACGTCAAACCAGTGTCCCACAGATGGAGCTGCATTCCAAAGTGCTGCAAGGAGTTCACGGTTTGCATTTTTCACGTTTTAAGACAAAATTAACTACTTTCAAAAGACCGAAGATTCTTTTGCTACACTTTTTTAATGTAATTAATTTTTTCTTCCTGAGATTAACGTTTAGTCGCATGCATGCAAAGGGGATTCTGTGGGCTTGTCAAAGACGCACTGCGCATGTTCGTAAAATCACGAACTACAAATATACGATCCTTTCCCAGCCGACAGCTGCCCGAAAATTGCGATTATATAAGGATTTTTGAAATCTCTTTAATTTTATAATTTTGCCCGCTTCGGAACCTGTCGAAAGTCATGTGCAAAACGTCACAACGTATTTTGTCATTGGCATTAATTTGCTAATTGACCTCTTTGCTTTGCACCATCACGTAATGGCAACCATGACAGGAGGCAGGAACAATAGAATCTGGTCTAATCTGATTTACATGAGAAAGAATTCAGTTTCCGAGGGGAAAAGACTATTGTTATGCCTCCTGTCATGGCTGCCATCACATGATGGTGCAAAGCCTCTATACCAGTTTACTTCTGGTATCTTGAACATGCGCATTACGTTCCTATCATTCATCATTTCCGCTCAGTTCTGTGCAAAACTGCGCAACGTATTTGTGCTGGCATTAATTTGCTAATTGACCTCTTGCAATTGATTAACATTCACCAGTTTGCTTCGGCTTCTCGAATTTTATCATTCATCATCTCTAGAATGTAAATAAATAGGAATCAATAAAACGTTCCTCTGGACGTAAAAAAAAGTCTTATTATTTGTTATGTGYTGGGATGGGTGGATCTATATTTTCCTTTTTTTCTCTCTAATTTTGTAACTACTGGGCTACCTGCGGTACACCTAGTAAATGAACCTTTTTCACACGGCAGCTATGTTGGCTGGAGCATTGGATTTTCTCCCTCTTCGCCTAGCATTCAAGAGCTCCAGGATAAGGTTACGCGGCAAAGGTTTTATTTTCTTGGGAATAAACAGGACGCCGTGTGATCAATACCCAGCAAAATACAGAAATTGCACATTAACTTTCACACGGAGGTTTGATTTGTTTAATATCGACGCTATCAAATGAATGACATGCCGCCTGCCTTCAGATCTGACATCATATCTGCTATGAGATATTTCAAGTACATTTTCAACTATTTAAAAAAAAAAATGTATTGGAAGTGACCTAATCAGCTTAGTGACCTCATATGTCGTCTTCAGGCACATACACTCAAACCAGACACGTTTTACTCAAAGGAATCGCATATAAAGTATTTATATCAGCAAAGACTTCAAAATAACAAACTGCAAGACATCAGTTACTCCAAGGTAAATTGTAACGTCAACGAATTTACCGTCACTATCTCGTTAACCTCAACCATCTCGTCTGTATCGTCTACAAACCACCTCTCTTGCCTCAGAGCTCAAGGTGGGGAAAGTTATATGCTGCTGCTGTTGTTGATGATGTTTAGTGGCGTACAGGGCCGGGGAAAATAGATCGTTAAATATGGTGGTGTTGACAACTTTCACTAGCCTGAACTTCTCCTGGACGATTAAGGCTACATTATAAAAGCGAGAGATCCCTTTTAAGATTATCTGAGATGCAAGGCTAATAGAGCATAACAGGAAATTACTTAAGAAATGGCACAAATTGCATCGAGAAAAAGTGTAATTTTTTTCGTATTTACTGGTCAGCCTAGCATCTAGAATATTTTGAGAGGCCTATTTTAGTAGCATGCGAGTAGAATTAATTGTTAGGTCTCCATTGATTTGAAGGTTTTTCTCTGGTTTTTCTCCCTCTGCAAAACCTAAGGCCTAGGGCAAACGTCGAACTTTCCATGCACCGAACTTAATTACATCGAAGAATGCCGCCTCATTATCACCTGATATCCATTGTTCTTAATGAGTTCGGTGCATGGAAAGTTCGACGTTTGCCCTAGGCCTAAGACGCCATAGATTTCACTTTGATCTGTGAGTTAGCCGTGCCTTTGATGTGCTCAGAGGCTATTTTAGGATTTTTATGGTTTTACAGATTTGGACGGGTTATCAAAGGGGTCCCCACCTTTCAGGTGAATACATATGCTATGGGGCTAGGAGGAATGATGTTTACACTTCATCCGCCTGTCATACCGCCTCAAGCACGTTCATCACAATATTCACCAATACAAAGCCGTACAGACGCATTGCTTTCGACCGAATCATTTACGTAATTCTTGACAAACTTCAATTTTAAGAGTTAATAACCTTCCTTTTCACTTTAGATTTATTCTATTGAGTCTGTGTTTGATCAGATGGTCTTAAGGGTGTGTGGTAATAAAACTGTTTTGATATATTCTCTCTCTTTTTATTTCGAGGATAATCCTTGCTGTACGTACGAAGATGGAGATTAGAGTGATTTTGGCGTTGTCTTTTTTGTGTACTGTTGCAGCTAGTGTACCAAGTATTGATGAACTAAATGGTAAGTATTTTAGATTTAAATCGAAAGGGTGGAAAGAAAAAGAATAATGGATTCCAGAAAGAACTGAAAGAATTAAGGACGCCGGGATAGATAAGGAAGGAAAAGAAAAGAAAGGAAGGAAGGAGGAAGGAAGGAAAGAAGATAGAAAGGAAGGAAAGGAAAGGAAAGGAAATTAAAGAAAGAACAGAGAGAAGGATGCCTTGAAAGGATGGAGGGAAAGAAGGGGAAAATAGCCGGAAAATAAAGGAATATTTAGTTACATCCACGTTATATTAAACTGATTACGTCCCATAATTCCGTGTTTGTAAACTTTATTGTGATATAATAAGGTCTTCATAGTTTTGAAAGACGATTTTTTTTAAAAACTTTAAAGGCTTTTGTGAAATAGGCATTGTTGTAGCAGGAATTTTGTATTGATTCACAAATTCTTTCAGAACTGTACAAGCAAGAACACGTAAGGAACAAGCGGTCTGGTAAGAACGTACGATTTTCGAAAAAACCATGTATTCGATCATACATTTCTAAAACTGGCAAAGCATCTTGGTAGTGAGAGATTGAATGTATATATAGTGTATTTCACAAGGGGGAAGGGTTGACCTTGGGGTAATATGGGGCCTTAAAAGTTGGAGTGTCGGAATTAGCCAGATTTATACATCTTTATTATACATTTGGACAAAGCAAGTACAATAACACGTTCTCTTAAAATTCGTTACACGTGCAGATTGTGTAGATCAGATGGACTATTGCTCATCGTACAAACCGTATTGCAACGACCCGGCATATAAAGATTACCTGATGAAAGAGTGCAAGAAAACATGCGGCTTTTGTACAAAGCGTAAGTACACAATGATGCTTGTATCATCTCTTGCTACATCACCTAACAATCTCTACCACCAACTATGCGAATATGTTTTATTCGTCACTTAACAGTCGCATTCACATCCATTTACCACCAACTATCGCCATCCACCACCCCATCTATTAGAAGGTATCACTCAGCATTTACCATACATCACCCTATCAAACACCTATCACCACCTGCTACCCACCATCCACCACCTAGCCTCTATATACAATAACACTAAACATCCCCTATAACTTATTGCTCACCATTTACCATGCATCTAAAATGTCTGCCACCCACCCACCCACTCACTCTCTCAACACACTACCATCTCATCCATCCACCACCTAGCATTTATTTACAATAACACTAAACATCACCTATAACTTATTACTCACCATTTACCATGCATCTAAAATGTCTGCCACCTACCCCCCCCCCCCCCCCCCCCCCCCCCACTCAATCACTCTCTTAACACACTACCACCTCTACAAACCATCCACCACCTAGCATTTATTTACAACAACACTAAACATCCCCTATAACTTATTACTCACCATTTACCACCATGCATCGAAAAATTAGAAGAATAAAATCAACTTCTAAGTTCCACCTCGATCATGGAATGAAGGACACATACAGATTGTTAAAATAAGAATGCTTTAATTTTTCATTTTATTTCATTGCTGGCACCCATCCACCAACAACCTCCGAATCACCACCAATAAATGGTTATTATTGTCAACATTTCCATATATTTTGTTTGTAGCCTGCTTGGACAGGTACCCAAAGTGTACTGTTTATCTGAGTTCCTGTGCCATAGATAGTTACAGAAAATCACTGGAGTACTACTGCTCAAAAACTTGTGGGTTTTGCCAAGGTAATAAAACCATTACACTGCCACGTCTCTGTCTTAATCGTCGTTTGTTTGTTATTTTGCTTTTGTTGTTTTTTTCCTGGTTTTGCTTAGAGCTGTTTTTTTTTCTTTTCTTTTTGCTTGCTTGCTTGCTTGCTT